GCATGCTGAAGATGCCTCAGCCCCCCTTGATATGGGGGAGGGGGTCTCGGCTCCTAAACCCAAGCCTATGGCCTAGGCTGCTTCCTCCAGGATACCAGACAGAGACTAACCAACTCTCTTCCAGCCCTGCCCCCAGCCAGGGGCGGCATCCACCTTCCTTTGTTTCTCTCCCTGGGGGTTAGGTGGTCAGACAGGTTTGGAGCCCCCTTTGCATAATGACTCACCCCATGCCCTGCTGGGTCGTGCTACAGTCCTAAACCCAAGCCTATGGCCTAGGCTGCTTCCTCCAGGATACCAGACAGAGACTAACCAACTCTCTTCCAGCCCTGCCCCCAGCCAGGGGCGGCATCCACCTTCCTTTGTTTCTCTCCCTGGGGGTTAGGTGGTCAGACAGGTTTGGAGCCCCCTTTGCATAATGACTCACCCCATGCCCTGCTGGGTCGTGCTACAGACAGCAGAGGTCGCTCCCAGCCCCAGCAAGGTCCCAACACTACGTCACACTACCTCCACTGTCGCTGGAGGTAAGTAGTGGGGCTTCTTGGGGGGGGAGGGAGGAAATTGGGGGGGGGGCCCTGAATGCCTCGTGATCGACTGGTCGGGCCCTCCCGATCGACCAGTCAATCGCGCACTGTCAGGGATAGGGAGACACCCTGACATCAGCCTCCCCAGTCCCGACTCGGCATAGTAGGTAAGAGTAAGGATCCTAGTTGAGAGCAGCTCCATGGCCTGGGCAGGGACAGCCGTGATGGAGCAGGGCAGCAAAAGGAGGGGCACCCATACCTGAGCACAGCGCCCTGAGCAATTGCCTTCCCTTGCCACTATTACATCTAGCCCTGTCCAGAAGTGAGTGGATGGGCAAGGCAGTGGGGGAGGCTGGTCTCCCCTCTCTCCCAGAACTTGTGGAAGGGGGTGAAGGGAAACTGCTGGAATCACCTAGAGCAGTGGTTCCCAACCTTTTTTATACAAGGGACCAGACCAGCAAACCCAGTCACAAACTTTTGGAGGACCGGTAACATTTCCCCCTCAGTGCCAGCCTCCCGCCCTCAGAGCTCCCCAGTGCAAGTCCCTCATCCCAAACGCCTCAGTACCAGCCCCCTGCCCCTTAGAGCCCCATACCAGACTGCCCCAGTGCCAGCCTCCTGTTTTCAGAGCCCTACTGCACCCAATTCCCCAGAGTCTCCCACCAGCGCCAGCCCCCAATATTAGCCCCATTCAGAGCCCCTCACAATGCCAGCCCTGCCCCTATAGCCCCCCCACTCCCAAAGCCACCCAGACCCAGATCCCCACCCCAGTACTCCTCAGTGTCAGGCCCACGCCTCTTAGAACCCCCCATTCCCAGAGCCCCTTAGCATCTGCCCCACACCCCTCACCTAGCCCGGCGCTGCCTCCCAGCTGCCAGCTAAGTGCTGCTGCCCATGTTATGGCTGCTCTACACATGCCAGGCTCCGTGTGGCTCTCCTGCTGCACAGCAAAGCACTCTTCCGCGTCCAGGAAGAGACCCCACCCCTGGCCAGCTCTGCTTGGCTGAGAGGTGGAGCAGACCATGCCCCTCTCAATAACCGCAACAGGAGGGGAGGCACTGGGCTGTGTATCCCAGTCCCGACCCGCACCGTCACCACAGCCAGAGGTCTGCACCCCAGCAGTTGAGAACCGCTGACCTAGAGGGTGGGGGCTTGCAGCAGCAGTGGCTCTTGCATCATCATGGCTGCTGGCAATTGCCTTTACCCTTCCTCTCACATAAAACCAATCAATAGATTATTGAGGGAGTGGGGGCAGGAGACTGGCATTTCTGGACTCTGTACATCTGAGGTGGATATTCCAGAACCTCTTGTCCCCAGCCGCCCCGTTTCCTACAGCCCTTCCTACCCGGGCATTGCTGAGTCCCATCTCCTGAGGTGCATGATTAATGCTCATAAAGAACAATAATGATGTGTTTGGTTTTTTAACTTAATCGCATGCATTAACTGCAATCGACAGCCCTAGTTCACTGTTCTCAGAGATTCGCTCCTGATCATCAGCCCCATCTCTGTGGCCTATCCTAGGGCCATTTACCTGGAGTACACAATTGTTTAAAAGAATGTCCAAAGCCAGCCAAAAGGTATGTTTGTTCTTTAACTAGAACATAAAAATCTAGTTAAGTGACATTTACCAGAACAATTTCCTTTGTGGGATATCACTCACACCAGGTTCTAAACCCTTTGGAAAAGGAATTACAATGGCAATAGGAAGTCAGTGAACAGAATGGAACAGGGCCCTCTAGAATTAATAAGACACGTAACAAGAGATGGACTGAAGTACTGAATCCCACCCAAGTGCAAATGCAATTCCTTACCTGAGCTGCACAAATGCTGTACTGTGTAAACATGGCCTCATAAAGAGCCATCAGTCCACTCTGCCCAGCTGCTGCACACGCTCGTGCCTCCAAGACTGGAATAGCCTTCAAAAATTAGAGAACATAGCTCTCAGCTAATTGACAGGCAGGAATATAAGCAGCCTCAGCCCAACGTCTAAGAGAACAGCAGTGGACTACCTCAGCCACTCACCATGTCCTTTAGCTGGTTCTGTCCTGAATGGAGGGCCTGCCTCACACTTTGAGAGAGTAGGATCTCATGGCGTAATCGCTGTTTTCCAAAAGCTACAGCACCACTGGTAACTATCATCATTTCCCGACCTTGATTCTGCAGCATTGACACCTACAGGTATGGAGAATAAAAATCAGGCCCTAAAGCAGGAAAGTTATGAGCTTACTGATTCCATTCCCCCTCAAACTCATCAAGTACACACTAGATCTGTCCTCGTTACAGGTATGGCTGTCCTCTCTATAGCCTCTACACTCCATTTCATTTTAGGCAACACAAGCAAACTACTATATGGCTTCCATTCATTCCTGGAGCATGTAAAAAAACCAAAACGGTTACTTATCTCATAGCTGTCGTTCTTCAAGATGTGTTGCTCATGTCCATTCCAATTAGGTGTGCCTAAGCCGTGTGCATAGATTTCCCTTAGCAGTATCTGTTGGGCCAGCCAGGGAGCCCACTGGAGTGGTGCCACTATATTGGCACATAATGCTGGCCCTCCACCCCCAGTTCCTTCTTGCTGGAATCCTCCAACTAAGGAGGGGTGGGCGGGATTTGGAATGGACATGGGCAACACATCTCGAAGAACAACAGTTATGAGGTAAGTAACCGTTTTTCTTCTTTGAGTGCTTGCTCATGTCCAGTCCAATTCCATAGCAGTATCCTAGAATGTGGGGTCGGAGTCCATCATCACCTACTTCACAATAGACTGCTGCATAGCCC